ACACCATAGCCTGTGATAACCCCCACGCCTGCACACCATAGCCTGTGATAACCCCACCCCTGCACACCATAGCCTGTGATGACCCCCACGCCTGCACACCATAGCCTGTGATAACCCCACCCCTGCACACCACAGCCTGTGATAACCCCACCCCTGCACACCACAGCCTGTGATAACCCCACGCCTGCACACCATTGCCTGTGATAACCCCAAAGCCTGCACACCATAACCTGTGATAACCCCCATGCCTGCACACCATAGCCTGTGATGACCCCCACACCTGCACACCGTAACCTGTGATAACCCCCACGCCTGCACACCATAGCCTGTGATAACCCCCACGCCTGCACACCATAGCCTGTGATAACCCCCACGCCTGCACACCATAACCTGTGATAACCCCCATGCCTGCACACCATAGCCTGTGATAACCCCCATGCCTGCACACCATAGCCTGTGATAACCCCACGTCTGCACACCACAGCCTGTGATAACCCCCATGCCTGCACACCACAGCCTGTGATAACCCCACGTCTGCACACCATAGCCTGTGATAACTCCACCTCTGCACACCATAACCTGTGATAACCCCCACACCTGCACACCATAGCCTGTGATAACCCCCACGCCTGCACACCATAGCCTGTGATAACCCCCACGCCTGCACACCATAGCCTGTGATGACCCCCACGCCTGCACACCATAGCCTGTGATGACCCCACCCCTGCACACCATAGCCTGTGATGACCCCACCCCTGCACACCACAGCCTGTGATAACCCCACGCCTGCACACCATTGCCTGTGATAACCCCCATGCCTGCACACCATAGCCTGTGATAAGCCTGCCATAACCTGTGATAACCCCACACCCATCCCAGTTAGAAGAGGAAGCAGAAGTGGTTACATTTGACTTCTTGAAAACATACTGACTGTGCGATTGGGGATTGCATATTCAACCTCGGTGAGTGTGATCTCCTCAACCTTGAAAGAGTGAGAGCTGAACGGTCCTGTCAGAGACTGTTTTGTCATTCACAATGACCCTCCTACTAATACTTCCTTGGGGGGAACTTCTCCAAAGGTGCCAATCTTCCGTTCATGGTTCCCTGGAAAACCCAGAGACTGATGTTTTGGAAACGGGGAATGCTCTTCTGGGGGGCAAATGATCTCTAGCCCCTTTCCCAAGCTTGGACTTGAATGATTCAAATATCTTCTTCAGCAAACAAAAAAGTGGACCACTCCAGAAGATCCCCACGTGAGGCTGAAGGCTGGCCTCCCATGCATGTGTACACGTGTGTGTGCTATATACACACACAGAGAGAAAGAGGGAGAGACAGACAGACAGACAGCAGAGACAGAGACAGAGAGAGAGCACAATCAAATCCTCTCTTCTCTGAGAAAGGCACTCTGTTCATCGTACGGAGTGATGGACTTGAAGAGTGTGCTTGACCTAGGAGTTGAACAGGACACCAACTGCCTGAAGATGTGCATGTTCGACACGTGGAGGCAGGAGTGGCCCAATGAGCAGAGTCCCCTAGGTGATGCTATCAGTCTCTCACACCCCAGGCCTGCTAAGACAGTGTTTAGCGCACTTTGGGCCAATGGAACGTGAGTGCAAGTGGCATGTCACACTAAGTGGGGACTGTCAGGGCCAGGCTGTGCTTTCCACGTCCTCTTTCCTATTGAAACGACATGCTCCAGACCAGAAAAAAAGAATAGCTCTGCTATGGTTCCTGGGAAAAAAAACAAAGCTTAAGCTGCCAGTCACAGCCAGTTCTGAACACACAGCAAGGAGGAAAACAGACATTGGCATTTGTGAGACCCTGGGACTTTGGAGTGCTTTGTTCCTACAGCCTGGTGGAGAAAGGGCGGGCAAACATCTGAGTACAGAGCCGGGCTCTGAATAATGCCACAGTTCTTTCTTTCCTCTCTTTTGAAAGCCAGACAACCATACTAACTGGAGAAAAGCCGGGAGCATTTGGTTTGGTCAAGAATTCAGTGAGACTGGGGCTCAGCAGGTAAAGGCACTTGCTGCCAAGCCTGACGACCTGGATTCAAGTCCAGGGACTTACTTGATAGAGGAAGAGAACTGAGCCCTTAAGGTGTCCTCTGACCTCCACACACGCTCCATGGTGTGTCCATGTTTACACATAAGTATTGCACTAAAAACCTTATTTTAAAGAATTCAGTGAATGTGAGTTATGAGGAGGCAGCTGGAGATAAGAGAGGCTGGAAGGAGTGGGACAGAGTTGTGTGCTTAGTTTCACCATGGCCCCACTGCGAGAGAGATGCCCTCCTTTCCCCTCTTAGCACCGCCCCCCATGTCCACCCTCACTTCCCCTCGAGTTGAAGCTGAACTCCTCAGCCACAATCAGCCAAGGCCACTAGTGCCTCCCAGGCTTATGTTCCTGACTGCTATTACTCTGACCCACAGTGTCACAGCTGAGAACAGAGCGACCCAAGGCAAGCAGTGCAAAAGAAGAGATTGAAGGATGTGCTCCGTTAAAATGTAAAACTTCAAAACAGCCGCAGACACCATAAACAAGCTGGAACAGCTCTCTCCGGGGAGAAAATATCTGCAATTTATATCGCAGATAAGGGATAAGCATCCAGAATATATAAAGAATTCTAACAAATCAATAAGAAAAAGACAAATGGCCCAATAGAATACTCAGCAAATGATTAAAAAAAAAAGTCGATTTATAGAAAAGAAGTTCAAATGGCCAATAAACTTGAAGAATGCTCATTTTCACCAGCAATCACGGGACTAAGCCATTAAGTGACCATGAACCATATTTTCCTCATCAGATTGATTTTAAAAAATTAAGGTTTGACATTCAGTGTTAATGAGGGTGTACGGAAGTGGGGCTCTAACATGCAAATTGGTGCAACAACTTGGAAGGACAAAAAATTAAGTAAACACTAAATAAATGAAAATCTGCTTGCTAGTCTTTCTCCTGGAGAAGGCATCTGCACCAGGGCCTGTATAAGGGTGTTCTCTTCGGTGTCGTCCGCAAGAGTGAAACCTGGCACCGGAGAGGCATGTGCTCTTGCTGCCATTCCAGAGGAGCTGGTTGGTTCCCAGCGCTCACATCAAGTGGCTTACAACTGCCTGAAACTCCAGTTCCAGGGGATCCAATGCCCTCTCTGACCTCTGTGGGCGCTCCCCTCCACCCGCACGCACATACTTTATATACACACGTGGTTAAAAAAATAAAATATCTTTACGCTTTCTTTTATAATTAGTAATAAGAGAGAGAAGAGGAAGAGTGTTGGGATTCATGAGATAAAGTGCTACAGGCCTGTGCGGTCCTTTAAAAGAATGAAGCAAGCCTGTAACTTCTCATGAAGAGACGCTGATGTGTCCAAAGAACTAAGGGACAGGCTGGGACAGAGGCAGGGCATGGTGGCTCAGGTCTATCATCTCACCACTTGGGAGAGAGGTTTGTGTAGGGGGGAATCGGGAGGTCAAGGCAGGCCAGGTCAGCTTGGGCTACAGGAGACCAGCTAGGCTACATGAGACTCTGTCCCAGAATAAGCAGGCAAGCAGACAAGTCAGAGGTGTTGGGGTTTTACTGGGAAAGAGGAAAGTTACATAAGTTGTTTTGATGCCGATACTGGGGGCTGGGAAACTGCTAACTGAGTGACAGCAGCTGCCTAGGAAGCCTGTGGGCTGCAGTGTTGGCTTGGGCGTTTGCCAGTGCAGAAATACCCAGCTGTCCCCGTGCTCCCGGCGGTCCGATGGTGGTGACTTGTCTAGTAAGTTGAGGTTTGGAAACTATCTTGTGGTCGTTGCTGTCATCTTGTGACTTCTGTGTGACAGTCCTTCCATCGCGGCCCCTTTCAGCTGTGTTTGCCAGGTTCGACTGTTTCAAGAGTGACTCTGCTTTAAATTGGAGACCTTTATCTACAGCAACCTTTGAGACCATGGGCAGGGTGAGGGGCTTTGCAGTGGTGGGAGTGGGCGAGAAGGACTCTCAGAAGGGATTAGAGCTGGATTGTTAATATTTCCAATTTTTTATTAAAGGGGGGCATTAGAGACCTTTTCAAGACAAAAAAAAGTTGGTTTAGAAGGCTGATAAATGAATGCCATCTGACCAACAGAAAGACAATGCGAAGCCAAGGCCACAGCCACCCCGACCACTGCTGGTAGAATGATGTAGTAGAGACAAGCTAACTGTTGCACCCAATACCACTACTGTCTCTGTGCCTTGTAACAAAATCCACCTCTCACCTTGAAAGTTAATCAGGGGCCAAGAGCAGTGGCTCTGTTCCACTCAGTCCCTGTTGTGGCTCTGCCATTTTAGGATGCCCCCCAACGGCTGGAAAGTCACTCTATTTCACATTTCACTGGCTGGGACTTAGATAGTTGGCTCTCCTTCCTGCAAGGGAGACTGGGAAATGTAGTCTAGGGCAGTAGTCATGAAAAAGAGAGTGACTTTCTGCTCAAAGCTATGACCTGCCATGGCAGCCTCATTGAGGGGCTAGTGCTGTGTTCGAATCACACCTCTTCTCTGCACTGAGCTTTTCCTCCAACCTGCCCTCACACTGTATGCCTGGGAAAGACTCCTCATTGTGACTGTCCAGTGAACCTAGCCCCAAATTCTGTCTCCATCTATTATCTTGGCCCCACACAGCAGAGGGACAGCCTACCGTCCTCCCCAAATACAAATGCTCACCCTGGTTTTAGTCTCTGGGGGATTATTTTCTCCAGTAGGAAAGTTCGCCCAGGAAGGAATTTAAATGTCTCCAGGTGCCCTGGGAACTCCAGCAACACCACTGTGAAGAATCCATGCCTTGTGGGGTGGAGGTGGGGGAGTTGGCAAGGATGGGACAAAAATCTAGTGATAGAAAAAACAGTGATGGGGTCAGAGGTGGGAGGAAGGCCCTGGAGCAGGTGTGAGCAACATGGGGGTAGAGTCTAGAGGATGTGGTGGGAAGGTTAAAATAGAGATTTATGCTAAAGCATTTTAAATGCTAAAATTTCAGGAGGTTCCTAACACTGACATGGGGACGGAAGGCTGGTGAATGATGTTCAGGGACATTCATTTAGAAGCACCCTGCAGGAGGCATGTCACACACCTGGACTCAAGACTCGGGGACCATGAGTGGTACTTGAAGGCACTGGATCTTTGAGGTAATTCTTTGGCATAGAAGGATCAGGAGACACCCAGCTCCCCTCCAAATAAGCAGCAAGTATGCTCTTGTTACTCTGAAATCCTGAATTCGGGTTGTCTAAGGATGGAATTTGGCATATCTGCCCCTCTCTAGTGCAGGACAGAAGAACCAGGCTGATTGGGGAAGCCCTGGCAAGGGAAAGGCCTGGGAGGCCTGTAGGCTTAATGAGATGTAGCTGCGAGTCCCATAGTAAAGTAACCCAAGGAAGGATAAACTGGGAGCCAGTGGGGGCAGGGGATGGGCAGGAATGTGGCCAGAGAGCAGGGCTAGATTTGGTGGCAAGCTCCCTGTGTCTTTACCTTCATACCCAGGAAGGCCCTGCCCTTAGATCCTACTTTGCTATTGGAAGTTTGATTTACTTCATGATTTTCCCTAAGTCAAGTGTGATGAGTAAGTAGCACACACATGTGAACAGAAATGCTAGCGACCAAGTGCACACGCACTGTCCCCAGGCTCGCCATGCACACGGAACACTTCTGAAATCCCACTGAGTGCAGAGTTCATTGCCACAAGTCCAGAGGACTGAAAGCCATTAGGATTAGCAAGCCACTTCTACCACTCATGGGTGTCACCCCAAGGGCGCACACTGACCTCTTAGACCAGAACCTGCTTACACACTGGAGAGACAGCGAGGTTCTAAGGCGCATAAATGACTATGTACCCCATCATGGGCTCTCTTCCTCATATCACCTCCCGGTGTTAGCTTCCACTGGAAATATTGGTGAGAACGAAAGGAAGACAGGCCCGGTGGCACACATCGTCAGCTACTTGGGAGGCTGAGACAGGAGGTTCACAAGTCCAAGGCCTGCCGGGACAACTTAGTGAGCCCCTGTCTCAAAATAAAAAGGGAAAAAAAGAAGTGGGCCAGACATGTGGCTCAGTTGGAAGAGTGCTTGCCCAGCATGCACAACACCCTGGGTTAAGTCCCCAGCATAAACCAAATATGGTGGTGCACGGCTGTAATCCCAGCACTCTGGGTGGGGAGGTAGAGGCAGGAGAAACAGACGTCAAGTCATTCTCAGCTCTTAGGAAATGCAGAGCCAGCCCGGGTTCTATGAGACCTTGCTTCAAAGAAAGAAAAGAACAAAAATGAGGGCCAGTGAGATGGCCCAGTGGTTAAGGCACCAGCTACCAAGCCTGATGACTAAGTTAGAGAATCCACACAAGAGAGTTGTCCTCCAGCCTCCACATACCCACTACCATCCTCCACTGCATCTGTGACAAGTGGAGCCTTCACCCAGACTTCCCCCAGAGAGGAGCACCAGAGCCATCAGCATTCGCTAGAGGCCCGGAACCACTGCACGCGGAGGAAGAGAATTGTCCTCCAACCTCTACAGACAAACTGTAACAGGTGCACACACAAACACACACACACACACACACACAAATAAATAAATGTAAAAAGTAAATAGGTGCTTGGAATGTAATTCACTGCTAGAACATGCTTGTCTGGCATGCATGAGACTGTACTGGCAAACCCCAGCACTCAAGGAAGAACGAGAAGGAGGGATGAGAGGGAGGAAATCAAAGCAGCCACAGTTCTTGTTCCTTTGAGTCTTCCCTTCCTGTCTCTGGGCTAACATAGTGTTAGGAGATGTGTGTGCATTATGACATGAAATGCAATCACTTAAGCTAGTTGGAGGCAGCAGTTCTGTGTCTAAAAAGAGCAGACTACATCTGTCTGTATGAGCTACAAATAATCTAGGCAATTCTACACAGGAGTTAAACGCTCTCCTGTTTGCATTTAAAGGGAACTTTGCAAACTGCAAACTAAAATCCATGTGATAATTTTAAATTATATTATACTCTTTACTTACAGCAATATTACACAGCAGATAAAACCATCAGGCTAAGTCAAGAGAAAGAACAGTAGAAGCAGGTAGGTGCTTTGCTTTCTTACTATTTTAATTTTTTTGTAGCTTCCTGATCAAAGGGGTTCAGGTTTTCATTTAGCTCTGGGCCCTGGGTCTTGCAGCCCCAATCAGCTGGGTTCTCAGGTCAGAAGGACTTGGCTGGAAGACATCTTGGCTCAGTTGCTCTGACACCAGGCATTTGAAGCCCTTTATCTCACAACCTTGTCCCCAGCTCTCATGGCAGATGCGACCCAAACCTCCTTGGGTAGATCCCCAGTCTAGCTCTGATTTTGTTGTATGTCCTGATGTCATTTGATTTGATCAGAGTTATTTGATCACTGCTGAGGTTTAGATAAAGGCCCATGTATTGACGGCTTGATAACCACCCATGGTACTTGTTCGGAGGCGATTGGATATCGAAGAACTGGGGTCTATCAGGGAAGAAGTTAGTTTACCAGAAGCATTGCAGGACCTCATGTACCCCCACCCCACCCCACTTCCTAGTTCCCATGAAGTGAGCAGCTTCCTTCCACAATTCCTCAACTCAGTTCCAGAATCAATGGCACCAACTAACCAAGGACTGAAACCTCTAAAGCCAGGAGCCAAAATCAAGCCTGGCTTTTCAGTCGATCGCACTGGGTGTTTGTTACAGTACGTGAAAGCTAACACAGCCTCTGGGAGCCTCATTTTCCTGCCTCTGGACTAGGGGTTGTTTTTTCTAGAAGTACCTTCCTCAAAGGGTTGTTGAGGTCAAAGGCTTCCTATGAACAGCTGGGGCTCAGCGTGTGCGGACACTACCCTCACAGCATCTCCCACAGTCCTGCTGAGCAGAACAAGAACTCCTTGCATCTCAGTGATGGGGAAAGACAGGTCAGACTCCATCCTGGTGCTGAGGAAGGTGCTCTGGGAACTGCAGCTCACTAGAAGGTCCCGGGCTCCTCCCCATGTATGGTTGACAATCTGCCTCTGGCTCCCTGTGAGTGAAGTGGAAATGGGTCTGGTGTTGCACTGGTGGAGGGGGCTACAGGGGACTCTTGGTCTCTTTGTCTATGCTTGCATGCTCAGGCTACCCTAAAATGTTCAATAGACAGGTGGCTTAAACAACAGAGACTTGTTGCTCACACTCTAAAGGCTAGTCCCAAGCCAAAGTGTCTGCAATGTTGGTTTGTCCTAAGGCCTCTCTCTTTGGCCATCTTTCCCCTGTGACATCACTAGGTTGAGACATTTCCCTGAGTGTCTGCGGCTACCAGGCTGCAAGGCAGCTTGTGAGGTGGGTTGAGAGGGTTCTGTGGATTTGAGAGTTGGAAGAAAACAAAGATCTGTGTTAGCAGAGGACAGTGGGCGGATCCGGCTGGGTCTGTCACACTGGGACAGAAGCGGAGACTGGGCTGCCTCCAGGGCGAATTCAGGGGCTTGTTGGATCTTGAAAACTGTCACAAAACAGGCACAGACACAAAGCAGTGGGCCCGAGTGGAATGTGCTGGAGGGGGTGCTGAGGAGCAGCAGGTCCAGGAGAGGATCTGCAGCCATCCTCTAGGCACCATCAGGGCCAGGCTGGGCTCATAACAGCCCTTTCTGCTCTCCACCCAGGTCCTGCTCCGTGATGCCTGCGGCTGTGGGTAGGCGAGACCCTCAGTGCTGGGCCCTCTGGGACTGTCGTCAGTGCTTCGTATGCAATGCTCTCCACCAAGCTACAGGTCCGAAAGGGGCAGCTTTTATTCCCGTTGACTACTGGAGGAAGCTGATGCCCAACGAGATGGAGGATGTCGCAATCTGAGTTCTCACGGATGGCTCCAGTAGTCCGGGGGTGTTGCTTGGTTGGGAAAGGGAGGAATGAATGAACGAATTGATGAAATGTTGTCTGTGCTTTGGAATAGGGCCCGTGTCCGAGTCCTGGTGAAAACAAGGTTGTGGCTAACCCAGACTCTCTCCACCATCTGTGTCGGGCCTGAGATACATGAAGCTGAGGGTGTTGTTGTTCTGTTGTTTTTGAAAACCAGTGACAGACAAAAGGCAGTGACACTGGTCACTCTTGGCCCTGAGAGAAGGGACTCTGTCATCTGCTGGTTCATCTTCTCCCACCCTCAGAAAAACCACATAGACGCCAAGGTTCAGCCCTGGCCTGTTCAGTTCAGTTTGTGTGTGTGTGTGTGTGTGTGTGTGTGTGTACATCCCAGCCCCTGCACACATCAACCTGCTCCTTTTCCTCCTTTCCTACTCTTGGTTTGTGATGTTACAACTGTCTTCATCTTACCAAACAAGCTCAAACGCACGGTTCCTCCAGTCTTGGGGTAGAGGAGGCCATATTGGTTGTGACTGTTGGGCTTTCTCTTGGTAACAGGTTTCCAGTGTGATTGGCATCTTTGGGAGGTCACACCGAGCAAAACCTGTGTTTCTGGGCCTAGCTTGTGACTCTAGTGCAGTTGGCGCTGGCTTCCAGGTCCAAGGTTTCTGCTCTGGTCCAGGTGAAAATGCTTCTCAGCACAGTGCTGGACTCTGTTTCCTCATTCCCAGACCTAGATGATGATAACTGTTTTTCCACCTCTTTCGGAGTTCAGCAAAGTCCTGATAGGTAGAGCCACCATTCCTGATCATTTCTAAGTCTGAGCTACTTTTCTTGTGTCTGAAATACAGATGATAACTGTGTTAGTTAACTTTGTCAACTTGACACAACCTGGAGCATTGACAGGAAACGGATTGGCTAGATCGCACTGGCCTGTGGGGATGTCTTGATTAGTAATTGATACAGGATAACCCTGCCCACTGTGGGTGGCAGGATCCCTAGGCAGGTGGTTCGGGGCTATATTAGAAAGCTGGTTAAGCTTGGACTGTGACCAAGCCAGCAAGCAGTGTTCCTTCACCATTTCTGCCTCAGTATCCTGCCTCCAGCTTCCTGCCTTGAGTTCCTGCCCTGGCTTCCCCCAATGATGGGTTTTTGACCTGAAAGTGTAAGCTAAAGCAAGTCTTTTCCTCCCCTAGGATGCTACTGGTCAGTGTGCATTCCCATAGAAACAGAAAAGAAAACAAGAACAATGTCTAATACGTGATTGCTGCTGTTACATCAACCCCAATTTTATAATAAAGGTCTAGGGCTCAGGGACATTAAGTCACCTGCCTGAAGTCACACAGCTAGGTCACAACATTAACACGGCACCTACCAGTGACTCTTACCAGCCTCAGAGCTAGACTTTTGAGCAAGGAGGTCTTCAGAATGCCCTGGGCTCACATCGCCATCTGAACTTACACTGAGAATGCTGGCAGAGCCTGGTGACCCACCAGATTTGCGAACAAAGAAAGCGATTATTGTTAGTGTAGGCCACCGTTTGGATAAGGCTTGTCATATAGTGCTACGTCAGGGACACGGTCCTGTTGCTCACCAGACACAGCTAACACCTGGGACATCATTTGTTCATTCATTTCTTCACTCAGCAAACACACATAGAGCCCTGCTGTGTCCCAGGCTCTGGGGTAGGCACACAGGAGAGACAAGACAGTGAATGCTGAAAACAAGTCATTAAATAGGAAAACCCATCGTGGTGACAAGCAGCCATAAGCATCTAGATGAAATTAATACATTATGGGACTGAAGGACAAGAGCAGGCTTTCTGCCTAGGTGATGCCCCCATCATAGGCAGCTCTAGGGTGGTGATGTTGAAGTTAAGATGGATATCTATCTATCTATCTATCTATCTATCTATCTATCCATCCATCCATCTATCATCTATATCTATCTATCTATCTATCTATCTATCTATCTATCTATCTATCTATCTATCTCCTATATTGCTAGCATGCTTATATTCCATGGCCAAAGTGTTCATATGGCCTACCTCTATATAAAGGCATCTAGGAATCACAAAGCAAAACAGAAACTACACTGGGAAGCACGGAGTGTATCTACCACAGACAGAAGTAGAAGCTAATTTATGTTTCAGTTGCCACCCTCTCACTGTGTGAAACTGAGTCATGAGCAGCTGTGACTGGGTTCTGAAGGATATCTTTCTAACTTTCTTTGTTGTGGGGATAACACAGTCTGGCCTGAACCAGCTTAGAGGAAGAATGGGTTTATTTCAGCGTACTCTTCCAGGTCATGCTCCATCGTGAAGTTTCTGACGACTTCTACAGCCCAGCACCACCAACCCATGGAATGGGGCTACCCATAGTGGACTTAGATTGCTGGTACCAATTCACGGTCATGATAATCCTCCCTAGACAGGCCCACAGGTCAATCTGATATGGGCAATCTCTCAATTGAGACGCCATCTTGAGTATTTCTAGGCTGTGATACCTTGACAATTAATGCTAACTGGGACAATATTGTCATTAGTAACTTTACATGACGGGTCAGTTCTATATCCTGAACAACAACAAAATCAATCCTATCTTAGGGTATGTATCCTATCCTAGGGTTTTTTGCTATGATAAAACCTCATGAGCAAAAACAAATTGAAGAGGAAAGTGTTTATATTACATGTCCTGATCATAGTCAATCTTGAAGGGACGTCAAGGAAAGAACTCAAGGCAGGAAACTAGAGGCAGGATCTGATGCAGAGACCATGGAGGAACACTGCTTACTGACTTGCTGCTAAAGGCTTGCTCAGCCTGCTTATAGCACCCAGGACCACCCGCCAGGGGTGGCACCACCCACAGTGAACTAGGCCCACCCACATCCACCACAGGCTTCCCCACAGGAGGCATTTTCTCCAGCCTGTGTTGACATAAAACTAGGCAGCACATTGTAGCAGGCTTTCCTTTTTGGGCTCCCAACCAGCTCCCAAATCATGACACGGAGACTCGGCCTTAGCTTAGCTCTTATTTTAATCTGTTTCTCTATGTCTTGCATTGGGACTTTCTACCTTTCCTCCTGTATGCCCTACTCTGTGTCTGCTTGTGGACTGCAGCCTGACTGGCCCCAGGAGTCTTCCTCTCTTTCCCCCTCGTTTTCCTCCTCTTCTTTTTGAGCCTAGACTTATCCTCCTATTTATTTCCTCTGCCCACCAGCCCTGCCTATCCTTTCTCTGCCTAACTATTGACTGTTCAGCTCCTTATTAGAGCAATCAGGTGCCTTAGGCAGGCAAGGTGAAACAAATGCAAAACATCTTTACATAATTAAACAAATGCAGCATAAACAAAAGTAACATACCTTTACATACTTAAATATCCCACAACAGCATGTAGCCTAAACGAATGCTCAGGTCAAAGCTAGAGTTAAAAAATTGAAACCATGAACTCTTAATGAGGGAGACCCTTGAAGGTGGAAGTCACAAAATAATTGCACACCAGTTCAGAATTATGAATAATAAAGGTTTATTTTTTTAGGGCAAACTTACAGATCGCTGTCCTAGATAACAGTCCTCTGCCTGAACAGGAACAGAGTCTAGCAGCGGGAAGTGAGAGCTGGGAGCAAGAGAGTGAGCACATGCTTTACAGCTACATTTACAGTATCAGAGACCACACCCAAGTGTGCAGGTATCTTAAAGGCTATTGGCTGAAGGAGCGGAATGTGCTTCCCACAGCACCTCCCCCTTTTGTTTAAATAAGAGAGTTCCAAACCCAATACAAAACTATATACACTAGGAAGAGATATCAAGTATAAGATTAGAATTACAACCAGCATAAACAATATTAAGCCAGGAAAGTATGCTAAATGTTTTAATAAACATTCCATCCTAAGGAGTCTAGTCTTGTATAGGAAATGGCTTGGCTAGATCATAAGAGGACAGTGACTATGACTATCTAATCTTCACCCCTATTAAAGGCCTGAGAAGGGAGATAATATTACTTGAGCAGGCAGGAAGTCCAATCAAGCAGCTTCCAAAGCGAGCAATATATGACCAAGACAATTAGCTACTTGAGCAGTCACCCAAAGTCTCATTTGCAACATTGAACAACAACCAACTTTGGCTAAGGCTTAGTAGCTATGGCCTAGCATAACTGACAGACCATTTTCAGAGGCAGGAAATTTTTCAGAACTGTCTTACCCTGTCTTGGCAAGATTTGACAGTCTTTTTCCTTGTGTCCTACTTGGAGACAGACCACAAGTGGACTGGTATCTTAAAGGCTATTGGCTAAAGGAGCAGAAGGAGTTCCCAAGCAGGCCCTGATGTAGAAGGAGCGGCAGATTGCATTCCCGCCCAGCTCCCACATGGCTAGCTTTATACCCGAAATAATGACACACAAATTGTATTCATTTAAACACTGCTTGGCCCATTAGTTTCAGCCTCTTATTGGCTAATTCTCACATCTTGCTTTAACCCATATTTAGTAATCTGTGTAGCACCACGAGGTAGTGGCTTATTGCGTCCATTTCAGAGAGGAGAGCTATGGTGTCTGCCTCACTTCCCTTCTTCCCAGCATTCTGTTCTGTCTACTCCACCCACCTATGTTCTAACCTATCAGGCCAAGCAGTTTTCTTTATTAATTAACCAATGAAAGCAACAGATAGACAGATAACCCTCCTACATCACCCTGATCCCCAGTTTTTGAGATTTCACAGGTTGGTAAATTCCAAAGATAATTTAGAAATCAACCGTAAGTTGTTTGCAAAGAAACCAAATGAACCCACTGCGTCTAAAGCAGATTGCAGTCACTAACAAAGAGACATCTTAGTACTTGCAAGCAAGAAGGAATAATGGTACTGTGTAGAATATTCTTTTCACAGAAAAAGGGCTGATTCGTTCTTATATATTACCCACATGCATGGACCACCAACACAGATATGCTTAGGTGTCCTAGCTAGAGTTTAGATTAGCTGGCTCCATGGAGTTCTGCTTGAGTATCCTTTATGCTCTAAAAACCGAATGAGTGCTCTGGCACACTGTAAAGCTGTGTGCAGTCCCCCACATTCAGCAGCAGCCAGGAAAATTGCTACATTTCATTCAACAGGTCCCCCTCAACACATGCAGTGTGGGAGTTACATTGTAAGTCAGTTTGTC